CAATCTTGATTTCACCTAACTTATGGATATTTACCCAGTGTTTAATTTATATAAGCAACCATATGAAGATAAAAAACAAAATGCGCAGAAAAAAAAAATTACTTATCATTATAAGGACTGATGCAAGGACCGGTCCTTGCATCAGTCCTTCGGTCACTATCGGTCCCAGTCCAGAACCGGTCCCTGGCGGGACCAATGCAACCCTAGTGTATAAAATATGCAAAAGTTATATAATATAAATTTTTAAAAAATAATTGTGTGTATGTGTGTACCGGTGTACTCTAAAAAAAATATTTTTTTGTTATTTTCAACTATTTTGAAAACAGCGATAAATTTATTTTAATATTATTTAATTATAAATTTTGTATTTTTATACTAATAATATTTATTTATTATATAGATAAACCTTTTAATAGTTAGACATCCTTTATATAATCATAATTATAATATAATTATACTATTTTTTAATTTAAGCTATTATAAAATATATATAATTTAAATTATATAGTTATAACCTTTTATAATTACTAAATTCTTGCTTTTTAAACTAATAATTATATTAAAATTTAATTATACAATATTTATTAAATTACTAATAAGTATATTTAAGTTTTTTAAATTTATTTATTTTATTACTAGCTATAAATCTATACAATATATAGAAAAAAATTTAATATAAAATAAAATCAAAATAAATTTATTTTAAATTTAAAATAATTTTATTTTAAAATTAGTATATTTTGAAATTAAAGTTAAAATTAAAATTAGTTTATTTTAAATCTAAAGTAGTTTTAAAATAGATCTATTTTGAACATGTTAGTTTTTGTTTGCTTAAGCTTTAATATAGTATATAATGTTTGTTGTTACAATTGATCTACATTACAGGGTCAAAGCCAAATTCCCAAACTAGAATTTTTTTAAGAGAAAATTTTGTGAAAAAGTAGCAAATTTGTTTCTACTTTTTTTTTAGAGCATTTGGACACCTGTTGGTTCTATTGAACTTACTGTAACTTTTGATGCTACTTTACTTTATCTTATTACTAGAGTCTTGTTTGCTAGAGCTCCTGGTTTGTTGTTTTGAGTTTTTCTTTAGTTTAGTTTTTGGTACAAGGATCTGCAAGGGAGAGTTTTTTTCACTTAATTACCTATTTTTGAATAAATAGAAAAACTTTTCCATTAATAATTCTACTAAATATTTTATTAAAAATATCTGCAAAACAAAAACTATCTTTATATAGTCTTTACAAAACAATACCTTTGAATAGTTATACTTTTTTAATATTATAGACTGAACCTTTATCTGGTTTTACTTTAATAATAACTAAAAAAGATTATATAACTTTACTAATTCTAAACTCAACTATTTTAAACTTTTTAAAATCAAAATACTACTTAATAGCTTCCTTATATATTCTTACTTTTATTCTATATTTTCTAATATATTTCTATCTTTCTATTATTTCTAATACAATTTTTCTAATTTTTTAACTTACTAATATATTTGTTCTTAATATAATCTCTTATTACAAATCATTCACTTTTCTATTTTTAAAACTATTTTTAATTTCAATTTCAATCTTTCTTATTATAAATTAAACTATCTAATATATACAATCTCTTCTTATTTCTTCTTCTTTCATTATCTCTTACTATTTTATTTTTACTCTCTTTACTTAACTCTCAAAGATCTTATTTTTTTCACCCTTATTTAATATATATTACTATTTGATATTTTATACTCTATTGCTTCTTAAATTATTATCAAACCTCTTATTAAAATTTCTGATTAACTTTATAATCAAATATAGAAATCATACTATATTAACTATTTTACTTAAAAAAAAGCATATCAAATATCTTTAAATTTTGTTTTTACCCAACTCTATTAACAACTTCTTTCTCACTCTATTTTAGAACTCATAATATATTTATATACAATTGCTCTTGCAATTTATCTGATTAACTATACTCTGATTCTAACTCTTGCTTATTTACTAGGTTTGCTAATTATAAATTTAATATCTGGTCTATTATGTAGACCCAGTATAGTCTTACAGAATGAATTGTAAAGTTTTATTAATTTATACATAAAAATATATAAATTTACAATATATAGCAACTCATTAGAGATATAATATTGGTAATTTGATAATGATTTATATTATTTAAAATAATTTATCAAAGTGATTTATTAGAGTTAGTATAAAGGAATTATTAGAATTCTAAAAAATGTCTTTTTAACTAATGCAAACTCTCAATGCTTTTATAGCTAATTCTATTCTAACAAGCTCAAAAAGCTTAAAAATAATTTATATAATATATTATTAAAAAATTAGATAAAAGTTATTTTAATCACAAGAGGCTTATAATAACTACTATAATAATTTTTTCTATCAAAGTTCTTTCTTTATATATTTTTAAAATTTTTTCTTTGATTTTTACTTAGTTTTTAGAATTTCATATAGTGCAGGACACCTTAAACCGGCAAGTAAAAAAGCAATTTTTAAAAATTCATTATAAAAATGAAAAATTAAGATATTCAAAAATTTTTTTTTGTAAAAATATAAAGGAAGATAAAACAAACAAAGTTACAAAACCTATTTATTTATTTGTTGAAATTTGGTGGAATTAAATACTTTTAAAGGGTGACCATTTTTATTAATTATTAATAGTAAAAATATAAAAATTTGGCTGGTCACCAAAATCATGTGATCTGAAATGTATAATCGTGATTGGTTAAAAAAACTATTAAATGTAAGATTTTTGATAATCTACTTTTTTTTTAGAAGTATTGCCTTTGGCAAGTGACCTGGTCACAAAGATAGTTCCTATTACTATTTGTTAATTATAAACCAAACTATAACATCACCATATATTACCAAAAACAATACCGCAATTATCCAAAAGAAAGTTACAATTAAAGAAAAGTTAAGAAATAAGGAAAGCCAAATATCAACGCAATGCAAATAATGAAACAAATAATGAAACAAATAATGAAGTGAATAACGAAATAAATAACGAAGTAAATAACGAAGCAAATAATAAAGCAAATAATAAAGCAAATAACGAAGCAAATAATGCCTTTAAAAGGTTATTACAGGCAGTTCCTAAAGTAAATACTTATCGACTACTTGTGTATATTGGGAATTTGAAAAGATCAAGAAGGTGCCAGAGGCAAATACAATGGGAAGCAGCAGTCAGAACATCTAAATTAGAATTATTTTGGTTACAAGTTTTTTTTTTTTTGTTTAATTAATAAATTATGGATTTGGGCTTATCTTTGAGATTATGATAGGTAACCATGGATGTTAGTTCTTCTAGTTTAGATAATAATTCTGAAACTGAAACTGAATTTGCCTCAGAAATTGAGGACAATGTAAATTTATATAATCTTGCTATTGAACAACTAGAAAATAAAGTTAAAAGTAATAGTCACAATGAGATTGAAAGTGCCCGCCTTAATGCAATGCTATCTTACCTTCGCCTTGTAAAATGTGGTGAGGAAAAAACTAAGGCTAGTGTTACTGTGACTAAAGCCACTGAGAAAAACATTTATCGTGCTTGTTCTATACAAGCTTGAACATCAAACTACCTTCAAAATGGCACTTTGCCAGTATCGAGACAAGAAAAATATCTAAAAATATGAAGTTTTTTGTGAGATGATGATGTTTTATTACAGATCAAATCTTTTCTTCGATTAAACAAATAGTGTATCTCTTCTAAAGATTTGACAAATTATATAAATAATGAGATGCTTTCCAAACTTTGTTTTGATCCATCACCAAAAATAAGTATAAGAACAGCCTACAGATGGATGAATAAGTTTGGGTTTGAATATTCAGAAGTTAAAAAAGGCATGTATATAGATAGCTACGAGCGAGCAGACGTTTTAGCTTACCGATAACTTTTTTTAAAAAGAATGATGAACTATGAAGAAAAAATGATTAGTTTTTTGATGAAAATATGGAATTAGAAACCTGGCCAGATGTTGATCAAGTTATAATTCTGGTGACACATGATAAATGTATTTTTTCTGCATATGATGGAAGATGCTGATTATAGAAACCGAAGGAAGAACAACCACTTTATAAAAAAGGACAAGAATTTTCTTACTAATGTTGCTGGGCGTTGGTACTGCGTGAAGAAGACGAGGTATAAAAGTTTTGTTTACTTTGACTTACCTTTTTTGCAGTAAGACAATTCTAATTAAAGTTTTTTAGATTTTTTTTTCTAATATTCTAACAGAAGTATGCATTATAATATATCCGAGAAAAAATGGTGATAGGTGGTGGAATTCTGATGACTTAGTGAACCAAGTAGTAGAGCACGCAATCCCAATATTTGAGACACGTTTTCCAGATGCAAAGGCCCTTTTTGTATTCGATAATGCAACTAGCCATGCTGTATATGCAGACAATACTCTTGTAGCAAATAATATGAATTTGTCACTCGGTAGAAAACAAGCAAAAATGAGGTTTGTTTAGAAATGTATCTTATGTGAAGTAAATCTCACATATATATTTACACACCTCATGCAATTTGCATAAGGTGTATAAATATATACTAGATTACCTTGCGTGAGGTATATTTTTATATTTATTTATGTTAAATCCATTAAATTTTTTACTATATTTATGTTTTGTATACAAATATGCAGAAGCACTACATATAGAAATAATATTAAACAAAATATATGCTTCTCTATGGATTACAAGATCCCTGAATTGTGTGAAGAACCAAAAGGTTTAAGAGAAATTTTAAAGGAAAGAAAATTATGGCATGATGGAATGAAGTTGAAGTATAAAGGTGGATGTGAAGAAGGAAGCATTAATTGTTATACAAGAACAGTAATGGCAAACCAACCAGATTTTAAAGCATAGTGCGGAAAACTTGAAGAAGCAATTATTTTGGCAGGCTATGCAGTTATATTTTATCCAAAATTTCATTGTGAGTTAAATTACATTAAAAATTTTTGAGGATCAGCAAAACAATATTCACGGAGCTATTGTGACTATACTTGAAAGAGTTTAAAAAAAACAGTACTACAAGCTTTAGCATCAGTATCACTTAGTAAAATTAGAAAGTATGTCCAAAAATCTTTTAAATATATAGATGCGTATCGTAAAGGATTAACTAGTGAAGCTGCTGAATATGCAGTTAAAAAATATCAATTGCATCGCTGTATTCCGGATTCAATCTTATTTGATATAAATATAATAGAAAATTGAAATTTATATTTGATAATGAAATAAAGTTGCTTAGTACAATTAATTTGATTGTTAAATATGTATAATTATTTATTTTAAGAGATTAATTAATATATAGGGTTCCAAAAATACTTTTATAAATAAATTAAATTAGTTAGATTAGGTTTAAATAAATTTTTATAAATAAATTTTTGGATTTTATAATTTATTACACGGTGCAATACATTGCACCTCTATAATAATTAGAGTTAGGGTGCACCCCTATAATAATTAGGGTTAGTGTTAATGTTAGTATTAGGGTTAGTGTTAGTGTTTGGGTAGCCAAATTGGGGTCATCTAGGATAGAGGCAAATCATATGATAATTGACCAATCAAATTCAACAACCCTGATAAATAAAAAAAAAAAATTAAAAAAAAATTAAAAATAAAAAAATTTAGGGTTTTATTTTTTATTGCACCTGCAATGTATTGCACCCCACTATATCTCAAAATTTTACTAGGGTAACCCTGTTG